GAGAAAATATATATCTTTTAGAAATTGTTTAATTAGGGTATTAAATAGGAGTTTTAATTGAATAGGAATTATAATAGTTAGATGTAAGGTTATTATATTTTAAAAAAAATATTTAAATGATTAAATAAAAGGTTAATTAATAGAGGTAATTATTAGTATTTAAAAAATAGAATAGATGATATATTTAATTAGAGAAAAGGTTATAAATTATTGTAAGAAGTTATAAGAAAAGTTGAATAAATTGATGATGTTTAAGAACTTAACCTGATTAAAGAAAAATTAACATATAGGGGCTTATATATTGAATAGAAGCTCCAATTAAAAAAGAATTTTAATAACTCCTGCAGGATATACCTTACATTTCAACTATTATATAATAAATTATATCCTAAAGAAGATATTAAAATAATTAAATAAATAACTAAAGAGGTGATTGTTGATAATAATAAGTGGGGTTTTAGGGATAAAATAGATAAAATATTTAATAAAAGATAAGAAAGTTGTAAATTATTGTAAGAAATTATAAAAAAAGTTGAATAAGTTAATGTTTAAGAGTTTGATTTGATTAGATAAGAATTAATATTTGGAGGCTGATATATTAAATAAGAGCATTTTAGCTATTGTATAATAAATTAGAAGTTTAAATGAAATAAAAGATATAAAATAATTATATCTTGAAGAAGCTATTAAAATGATTAAATAAAAGAATTATTAGAAGTAATTGTTGGCAATAGTTGCGCGTTTAAAAAGTAGAAAAGATAATATATTTAATAAAATAATAAATTTATAAATTATTGTAAAAATTATAAGAAAGAGTGATGATTTTATGGAACTTAATTTGATTAAATAAGAATCAACTTTTGAAGGCCTATTTATGTCCAGAAAAGGTTTATGGAAACCTTAGAAGGGTTGTTCCATAGAGGCTAATAGGGTTTTATAAGGTAGCTTTAATTATATAATCATATAATACTGGTTTAATATATTAAATAGGAGTTTTAATAACTAAATGCAAGGTAATTATATCCTAAAGAAGGTATATATTTAAGTAATTAAATAAAAGATTAATAAAACTAAGAACTAACAATGGTAGCTAATATTTAAAAAATAGAATAAATAATATATTTAATTGGAAACAAGGTTATAAATTATTATAAAAAGTTATAAGAAAAGTTGAATAAATTGATGTTTAATAATTTAACCTAATTAGGTAAGAAGTAGCTTTTGAAGGTTTTTATATTAAATAAAAATTTTAATTTAGGGTTAATATTATTAAATAAAAACTTTAATTAAATAAAAGTTCTAATAGTTAAATATAAGGTAATTATATCTTAAATAAGGTAGATATTAAAGTGATTAAATAAAAGGTTAATAAAATTATTTATTAATAATGGTAGCTAATATTTAAAATGATATATTTAATTAAAAATAAGAGGGTTATAAATTATTATAGGAAATTATATGAAAAGTAATGTTTAAAAAGTTTGACCTAATTAGATAAGAATTAATGTTTAAGGGTTTATATATTAAATAGGAGTTTTAATAGCTTTTGTAAGATATGTCTTATCCTACATTTTAACTATCCCATAATTAATTATATTTTGAAGAAGGTAAATATTAAAATAATTAAGTAAAAAAATTAATAGAGGTAATTGTTGGTAATAGTAGTGTGTTTAGGAGGTGGAAAAGACAATATATCCAATAAAAGAACAAATTTATAAATTATTGTATAAATTAAAAGAGATAATGATGATTTTATAAAGCTTAATCTAATTAGATAAAAATTAACTTTTAAATGCCAATATATTGAACAAAAGTTTTAATAATTATAAATAACATATTTATATCCTAAAAAAAATATTAAAATGATTAGATAAAATGTTAATAGAAGTAATTTCTAGTAATGGTAACTAACACTTAAAAAATAAAATAAATAATATATTTAATAATAAACAATACTACTATTAAATAAGAATTCTAAATAATAATTAAATATAAAATAATTATATCCTAAAAAAAATATTAAAATAATTAAATAAAAGGATTAAAAGAGGTAACTATTGGTAATAGTAATTGGCACTTAAAATAATATATTTAACTAAAGACAAAAAGGTTATATACTATTTTAAAAAATTATATAAAAGATAATTTTTAAAGAACTTAATCTGATTAGATAAGAAAACAACTTTTAAAGACTTATCTATATCCAGAAAAACTTATAAAAACCTTAAAAAAATTAATTCTATAAAGGCTAATAAGATTTATTATTAAATATTAAATTAATATTTACAGAATAAGATTAATAAATCCTAAAAATCAAATTAATCACTTCGCAACCAATCCCAAAAAAACTAATATAAAATATATTAAACAAGAACTCTAGTAGCTCCTATAAGATATACCCTATATTTTAACTAATCCATAATAGGCCAGAGGCTATATGAGTTAGAGGATATAAGGTGTCTATATCTTAAAGAGGGGAATAAATTAATCAGATAAAGGAACTAATATAAGTAACTACTTGCCAATAGTAACACATATAATAAAATTATAAGCCTAAAAATATATATTACTTATATAAAGTTTTATAAAAACAATCCTTAAAGAACTATTTATAACTTAAATTGATTAGGTAAGAAAACAACTCCTGAAGACTTATTTATATCTAAAAAAACATATATAAACCTTAAAAAGGGGATTAACAAAATCTTTTAAAATAATTTCTATTATCTAATCACACTACCTTGGTTCATTATATAAATTAAAGTATATAAGGTGATTATATTTTGAGGAGTGTAATAGGATGATTGTACAGAAGAACAGATATATATGATTGCTTGCAAATGGTAGTGCATTATAAGAGGTCTTATTTAAGAGAGAAATTGTAACTATATATTATCGTACGAAGGTTCTATAAAGGTAACTCTTAAAAGACCATGATAAACTTCCACTGATCAGACAAAAAAGACAACTCTCGAGGGCCTATTTATATCCAAAAAAGCTATAAAGGCCTTGGAAGATTTGGCTTTATAAAGGCTAATAAGATCTTATAAGGTAATTTCAATTACATAATCACAATACCCCAGTTCAATATAATATATATTTTATAAGCTCATGTAATTTTTTACTAAAGTCGGGCTATTGTGGTGCCCTGCAGGGATGCCCTCTTGTTCTTATTGATAATGCAATACTACCTATCAACTCGTTGCAACCATTGTTAGGTATCAAATAAGTCAGAGGAGGGGGAAACCGACCCCCCTTAGAAACCGACCCCCTGTCAGAAAGGACCAATGATAATCTAAGAAATAACCAGGTATCCACTCTTTTTATCCCAATTCGATGTATCTTTCTTATTCTTCTTTTGGAATCTTTCCTTATTTTTCAACCAATTAAAAATCTCCATTCTTAAAATGACCCTTCTAATTGGCTATAATCCAAATTAAGCTCAAAAGCTTAAACCAGAATTGGTTCGGGTAAAGTCCGGGGGACGGAAAAAGGTTAATCCAGATGCAAATCATACTTTTATTCGAATTATTACCTTTCATATTATGGAAGGGCTAGATAAAAGGCTAAGCCCGTTTGGGATTAGTAGTGATGGTTCATTGGCTGGTTTTGTGGAGCTATGCTCAAAATGGCAACCAGAAATTTTCGAACCAATCATATGCTTAATAATTTATCTCTTTTTTTCTAATGTACCTCTGTTAAACCCAAATGGGTAATAAATGGTCTGTGCCAAACAGGGGGTCGGTTTCTAAGGGGGGTCGGTTTCCCCCTCCTCTGACTTATGACCTAATAAAGTACTTACCTAGGTACTTTATCTCCACACACGTTAGGTATATTATAGTGTAGTACAGTATCCTTTTCATCTCCATATATGAATTCTTAGACGAGGATCATAATTATTTCTTAGAAATATTCAATTTGGCTAATAGCTATGCCGTATCACGTCATACTGATAAGCTACTATGTATCTAATTTAATTTGGAAATAGTTGATCTCCCCGCTTATTGACACGTACCATAGTATTGAGTTGTCAACTTAGAACGTGGTACGTAGTTCTTCTTGGCCGATACAATGAGCTTCGCAACTCAGACACCTACCTACCTTTGAGACAAGATTACTCTCTAATTGATTGGTCGTAAATAAACGACCCTGTTGCATCATGCAGCCTAGTTATTGCCAAGAATAAATCAAGATATGAGGTAGGTATTAGACTACCCATTCAGTATATCAGTAAAGCCTTAACTACGTCTAATAAGACATGACTTATGCTGTACTCTAATAAAAATTATTGATCTACCTATCTACCAGAGCCTCGTGAAGTAACTAGGTTAGAAACTTGGCCGCCTAACGAATATTGAGAACATTAATCGTACCAAGTCGGGTTCTTAGCAAGATGATGAACATGCTATAGTTCATGTTACAGTAATGCGTAATTAATGTGTAGGTGCTACTAAAACCTCCGGTCACCAACCAATGGCATCCAGTTACAGCTCGCCATGTTTCAGCGAACCAAGCGCATGTATCAGCAACGTACCTACTTACGTAGGTATCTCCAAGTATCTATTAATAAGGTGCCTCTCCGCTTCCGTGCTTTACCACGTTCGTTATGCACGTCTTAACCCCACGAACCACGCCGCTTTTAGCCCGAGCCTTCGAGATACATCATAGCTTTATCCTATGCAAATTGCTTACGTGCCTTGGGTATTTGCATAAAATACGATTCTTTACTTGATAATTAGGAACATTTATTACACTAGTTATTATATATTAAGTATATTTTAGGTACTTTTATAATAATATAAGTACCAACAATAAGCATATGAGACGTGATACCTACCCGCCAAAGCCGACCTAGAGTCGGGGGTGCGGATCCGTACGCCGGCGTTGATAGGCTGAACCTACATGTAGCGGAAGACTTTTTTCACTTTTTCACGCCAACACCAAGAAATGCCACACGTCTATATACACACCTAAGCCAAAAACTTTCACCAATCAGGCCTGGTCCCATAGCTCAGTTGGTTAGAGCGTCGTACTAATATCATCAATTCATTGGTTGTATCTAGTCAATGCGAAGGCCGGCGGTTCGAGCCCGCCTGGGACCATTATTTTTACCATTTCTTCGCTTGGATAATTACTGGATTCCTTTGTAGATAATCTGCATTTTGTTGGTAACTTACCTATCTTCGCCACTCTTAATTGGGGAGTACATTCATTTTTTTTAATCCTATTTCCCTCAACTACGCCACTCCGTAAATATAATAGTAAACTCTGCATCTATTGATATTTAAGACAGGGGTATATGTTATTATAACTTGTAGTTATATATTTATATTGCAAAATCTCAATTCTGGAACATCCTCTGAGAAGGGCATATATTATACTTGGATCAAGTAGGCCTCTCGTAATATAGAGGCTCACATTCGTCCTGGTTTAAAACCAAACATATTATCATAAGATAATGGCCAGGTTTCACCGTAGAGGGCCTTCTATGAGGTTCAACGAAAATAACGGCGAATATAAACAAAGGACTGCCGAATGTAGCAAATTACTGACACAAGTATAAAAGAGCTGAAACGGTTGGAAGAGATGGAAGAGCATGGGCCAACGCTGTTCAACGAAGAGCTTCCAAAAAGGATGGCAGCGTGTGCACCGACGGCCGGCAATCCGGACAACAGCAACCCTTCGCCACGCGAGAGGGGCTGTAGCCCTGACTACAAGCTGGACGATATGATGAGCAAAAGGCGCAAGGACGACAGCGAAGAGTCTTGCTCGAGCGACAAGGACTGCTCCATGAGTGACGATGGCCGGTCGTCCATGGACCCCGAACGATGGGACCACGTGGGCGACTACGCCGGGCTCCTCTCGCGAAGCATCCGGCGCACTCGGGAGTTCTTCAACAGCCGGCGCAGCGTCGCGCGCGCGATGTGCCACGAGCACGTGCGAGGGCTCGCCAGTCGGGACGACGTGACTATCATCCCGGCGGAGGCGCAATTCACCGGCCCATACACAGCAGAGGTCGTCACGCCCGGCGAAGACCAGGACTTTATGACCCTGCGCGACAGGCAAACTCACCCGTAACTGGAGCAAAAAAAACCAAAGTCGTTTCGAGGGTATTATGAAGCAATTAGTTGAGTAAGTGCATCTTGGCGACAACAGGCCGGCGGTCTCTCCTCTGTAGTCCCTGAAGTTAACCGGGTCGTAGATTCATTACCGCACTATTGACCCTAAAAGGAAGTTCGCCGGACGAGTGTAGGGAGAAGGTTTGGACGAGCTTTAAGTATAATGTGCTACCCACCCTACGCTCGACGGTGCTAAATCCCAAAAGCGCAGAGGAGACCGAATCGGGCGACGAAATAAAGGTCAACTTAGACTGCGAGGGCTCGAAGGAGGAGAAAGAGAAGCCTGGCACGGTCCTCGAGGCCAGCTGGCCCTAGACGCCGCACAACCACGAACTCTCCGACATGACCTGTCGGGGATCGCGTGTGTGCTTGAGTGGAACCTCACACTACTTCCCTCCGACGCGAGCCTTCCGATGGCCCTGTCCCTGCTGGGCACACGCTTGAAGACGACGAGTGGATGGAGTATACCGAGGACCCTTTCGACCTCTGGCGGCTGCTATTTCATTTTGTCCGACTTCACCTCAGCGGAAAGGGCGCCGCGCTAGACGTCTCCCATAGGAGGAAGTTACTAGTCGCCACGAGGCTTGGCTTCGCGTTCGACTATGTCCCGAAGATCGCCAGGGACTCGCGACTATTCCCGAAATCATACCTAAGTCAGGCGATAAATACGTTTGACCAGCTGCAATGGATCGAAGAGCACTTCCGTTTCGAATGAACCTTGTGAGAGCAGGTTTCCTAAACTAGAGAAGCGCTGGAGACATTGTATGCCTACAAATCAGGCTTGCCGGGATTACTCCGTTCATAAGACCTATCTATAAGACTAGGTATAAGCAGAGCCTGTGAGAACCTTTCTTAGCTCCATCCCGTATGAAGTAATACAGAACATCTTAGGGCAACGAAGCGCAGGGAACTATATATAGGTCGGTAACTGGGTGCTCTTCGCTCGGTGGTAGGGTTCATCTTCCTTATGGACATTGCTTATGGACATTCCTTATACCAGCTAGAGGCATAATGTGCGACCAAGCCTAACGGCCTGGTTAACAGTCCAATCTAGGACAAAGGCCGAAAAGCGCAACAAGATGCAGGGGAGAAGACAGGACTCGGCACGCGTCGGCTACCTTTCTTCTCTTGATCTAAGGTAATAAATAACTTATAAGTAGTTACTAAATTTCGGGATTCTAAAGGCCTCGCTCTTGGTGTTATAATATTTTTATTTGGGTATCTTTGGTACCGTGTTAGAATAATAAATGACAGAATTGTCTTGCGAATACCATCTAAAATGCGTAGTTGTGACTTCCAGCTGTTAGGTATGTAAGATGTCAATTATGTAAACTAGGTTAGTGCTAATATTTAAATAAATAAACCCACTCAAAGATAGAGAAGCGTTAGTATGTGTTTATGAACGAGTGGGCAAGACCAGCTCATTTATAGGAAAGCCCATTATTTTCTTAGCTCTTAATCGTATATTAAGTCTATAAGGCAATTTCATATTAATCAGATGTCTCCGGGCCCAACGCCTACGTGCCTTTTTGGGATATCGTCAGCTTAGGCTCACTTATCAACATACGATTTATTAAGTTACGCCAATTTTTTCTAAAATATCACGAAACATTAGAGTTGTTAGAAGTTCCGCCAATAGAGAAAATTGGTATTAGTACAGTTCCCTAATTGTAACGTGATTTGGGTGTAGAAATTATATAGACCACATTATTATATTAACTTATTAATACGTTTGGTTTTACTATTAGACTACCTGCTTGGATTAGAGAATATCTGCAAGAGAAGACCTCTCGTACTGTTACGTTTTATGAAAGCCGGAGATAAGTAACACCCGCAACAATTCCGAATGGCATTAATTAGGTACACGGGCTATTTCTAGACCTATAACTACCTAATACGAAGAGAAGTCCTATGCTTCTAGACTCTAAATATTTTCGTCGAGAGGCCGTTAAAGGATGGATTTACCATGATATATACTCAACTCAACGCCATTAATGGATATAAAGAAACCGACACAGGGTTGACAGGCCGGCTGGATGGTGAGTTGGATTCGAGAAACACCTTCAATGACTATATTGTTATTAAGAGCCTTTAAGCACGCTGCTATTATATTTAATGATAGATAATTGATGAATATATAATGTACCTGAGTTAAAGATGACTGATGGTAAAAAGGGGGCTAAAGGGCACTTCAGTTATTGTAGCTTGTAGTAAACGGTACGCCCATTCAAGTGATGTATAGAACGATAAATCGAAAAATGCTACTATCTCAATGCCTTTTTGTTGGCCTTTAGGAAGTGAGAGGACAAGAAAAGATCAAAAAGAATGGTCCCAGGCGGGCTCGAACCGCCGGCCTTCGCATTTACTAGATATAACCAGAAATTATATTAGTACGACGCTCTAACCAACTGAGCTATGGGACCAGGCCTGATTGATGGAAGTGGCGAACTTAACTGCGTATATGCAGAAAATTTTCTATGAGCGATTTGTTTGGATTTGTTTGGATTTGTCTGGATGATTGATTATTGTGTTGTGGTTGGAAAAGAAAGAGGCTAATCCGAATCAAGCATAATTGGGCGACTTATGCTCTTTTAGGTATGTACATTATACAAATATTATGCAACACATTGGCAAGCTTGTACAATATTTAGCGTCATTAATGCCATATCTATGCAGTACCTAAGTATCTGCCAGCCCTGCGTACGTGGTAAAAGCGGCCATGTAACACCCTTTGATGAACCACTTTCATCTAGTCGTGGAGTCATGTTTCCCTTTGTCTTGTTCCCTCAAAAGAAGCATCCCATATCTGCCTATTTCTTTCCGCCTTAGGAATATATCGGCTACGAGACTTTGCCACCGAAGGCACCCCTCTCGCGTTCCTAAATGAGTCATAAAAAAAAAGAAAACAAGCAACAAACGCAAAGGACGTTATATTGAATCGGAGATAATGAAAACTTGTACATAATACATTGAATTTATGATAGTGCACGCATAATTTTATAAATAATAGGTATCATATGCATAAATCATCAGTCAAATAGGTTAGGTACTTTATTGGGACTTATACGTACTAGGATTGAATGGATAAACCCCTTTACTATGCAGCCCAGACCTCCCCGAGATACATACGTTTTTTTCTTGGAAATGTGAATAGAATGATCCCTGTTGTTTAGAGCAACCTTGAATTATGATTGATTTGTATTTCGTACAATGGTTGCCTACCCCTTGTCAGAATCCAGAAATCCCAGAAATCCCAAATCCATCCGTCGGACTGTCGGGCAATCAAATCAAAAATCAAAGTGAATTTACAACGTGTATGTACCTAACTTATCACTTTACCTCCCTAGCTCCAGGCAGGTAGCCACCCACACCCTGCACACCCAGCGCACCCAATAAACCCAACAGGGAACCATCACACCCCAAGCACCTTCACATACCTGCCTGGTAGCAACCCAGCAACTTACGTACATACCTCATAGTAATAACTTAGCAACTTCCATGGCAACATTTGAATTAGTAGTAGAGACTACCTAACCTATCCCTCGAGGTGCGAGTGTAACACGGTGGGGGGCACTAAAAATTATGTCCAATCAGAAATTAGTGAAATGTAACTACATGCTTTTACACCTAATTTTGCCTGTGCCATAAGTACCAACATTTATCAGTTTTACAAATCGACACAGCACACTCTTTGCAACGAGACCTGACCCTTGGTATCAACCTTTTATCGATATTTCTCGAAATTTCAGTCAATCCAACCCTCCTAGAGCCATACATATGGTTACCCATGCATGCCTGACAATAAGAAGGATTAATAGTGGCTATCCTGGTGTGTTTTTCGATAGGTAAATTGACGGCGCCTCCTATTGACGTATATGAGCCCCTTGTACGAGAAATCGCCCTGGGGCCGTATTTTCGGATTAAGGTCTCTGAAATGATTTGTTTCCATTTGAAGACAGTGTCATATGGGTACCAGTATGGCG